TGATTATCTAGTTCTCTCTCTCCTTTTCTTAGGCAAAATCTGACCTTTCCATGAGAAGGTGCAGAGCTCTTCTGAGTCCGCGTGTTCGTGCTACTTGAGGCCCTGTGTTCCTGGGTTCACAGCTGTTCCCTGGGTGTTGTTGTTGTAGATTTTTAGGCTTCCTAAAACAGTCACTCTCCCCTTTAAGATGGTGCAGTCTCTGCATCAGAGCCAGTTGTTCTGGGAGAGATTTCTGCAGCAGTGGAGGCTGCTGGTCAGGGGAACCTGGTCTGGTAATCCGCAACAGTCCCTTGCAATTTAGCTGCTCACCAACTCACAAATATACACTCCCCCTGTGACTACACACTCTCCTTTTGTTATCTCACCCACAAACTATTTTGCAGTCTGCCTTCCCATAGGCAGCCATCTTTCCAACTCCTATACACCAGACTTTTAACATTGGTTGCCTCTGGGAGGTAGGAATATAGTACATTTAAAAATATATATTATTCTTTATATTTTTCTCTATTGTAAAAATAATTTATACAATATATTTTTTTCAAAATAAAAAATTTCTTATAACTTTTTATAATTTTTAAGTATATAGTAATTGTATATATAAATAATATTTATTTACCTAGAAAGTAAATGTCTCCCTCTAACACCACCCTTCCCCCAATCTGAGAGCTAACCACTGCTAATAGCTTGATATATATTCTTCTAGTCTTTTAAAATAGGCCATAGCAGATAATTGGCAGTTTCTCAAATTAAGCTTCCTCTCTCTTACCTCTTGGCTTTTGCACAGGTTGCTCCATGAGTGGATTGTCTCTCAGCCCCTCTCCCCACTCCCATTCTTCTCATCCACCTAACTCCTGTTTAATTGCTATTCCTTTTCATAAAAGTACTCAATTGTTTCTTCCACTTATAAGTAACCTTGATCCTCCCAGCCCAACCCAAAACTAGGCTGAATTGTGTCACCTTTCTGTGTCTTCAGGTACTTTGTTCATACCATTTGCAGTATTTTTCATATTATAATTCACGATTTTCTAATTTTTCCTCATTAATTGTATGCTCCTTGAGGGCAGGGTCTTGGGCATAATTATTTGTGTTTTCATCATCTAGAATAGTGGAAAGTACCCAACAAATTAATTTATTGAATTAATTGAAATAATTCATTACATCAGTAAGGTACAAATAGGTACCTTAAAAGAGAATCCTATTTTCTTTCTTCTCTGAAATGTCTTTTTCTCCACACAGACTGATTTACTGCCACCTCACAGCTTCTTGTAGTAGAGAACTCTCCTTAGTATTTGAATCCAACCAGTATCTGACAGATTTGGTATTTATAAAAAAATACCCCGGAAGTTTCAGTAATGAAGCTTCTGTGTGAAGTATTAACACAGACAAACTGTATCTTATAGAACTGAGTTAAATGATAGCAGAAAAATTTGTTATCTGTTCATATAATTTTTGTCAATTTCTGTTTGTGTCAGGGGAGAGCATGAATAAGATAACGAGGTTATTCTTCTGTTTTCTGATGATTTTATGGATGCCTTCTTTCTCCTGCTTCTTGTGGGGTTCTAGCAGTTGTTCTCAGCACCAGGTGGCCACTCATTGACCTGGATTTTAGCAAAACAAAACTACATGCTTCAGCTTTGAAATTGCTCTTTGAGGGCTTAAAATGTCCAAATTTCAAATTACATAGGCTCAAGTAAGTAGTAACTATTAGTTTCCATACTACAAGAAAAAAATGTTTAAATATGCAACTCAAGATGGATGTTGTGTGATCATAACACATTTCAAAGAGTCGTAAAGAGGAAGGATAAAAGTGACAGTATTGGCCCAGCCAGCATGGCTCAGTGGTTGAGCATCAACCTATGAACCAGAAGTTCACAGTTCAATTACCGGTCAGAACACATGCTGGGATTGTAGGGTTGATATATATCCTTCCAGTCTTTTAAAATAGGCCATAGCAGATAATTGGCAGTTTCTCAAATGCAGGAGGCAGCCTATCAATGATTCTCTCTCATCATTGATGTGTCTCCCTCTTTCTTCTTCTCTGAAATTAATACAAATATATATATTTTAAAAAGTGACTACCTAAATTTCTTCTCATGTAACCAGTTAAGGAAGGGAATTTTCACTGTAAGAGGTAGTAACATCAATGATAATAATAATAACCAAGACTTATTAAACAATTGCTTTGTTCAAAGTATTGTAAACATGACTTCCTTTCATCAGCACAGTAGATCTGAAAAGTTCAGATTATTATCCCCATTTTAGCACATTAGGAAACAGATGCCCAAAGTAAAAAGACTGAATTCAAAACTCAAATGTTTCTGACTTCAAAGTGACCTTAGTTAACATAAAGTTTATCATATGTGTATTAATAAGGGTTCTCCAGAGAATCAGAATAAATAAGATGTATCCTATCTAATAAGAGTAATATGCAAATTAACCATCACTCTGCTACAAAGATGGCGGTAACCATAGTGCCAGGGTGGGATGCCAGTGTCCCACTCCCAGGCCTCAGAGGGAGGAAGGGCTGTAGACAGAACGCTGGGCTGTTGGGCCTAGTGGCTTGGGACACACCAAGCAGACATGCTCTGGGCCAGGGGCTCAGAGCCGCCACCCAGAGCCAGCACTCAGAGCCATGTGGCTTGGGACACGCCCCCGGCCCTACAGACAGAAGCCCGGCGGTCGCTGGCCATGGCTTGGGACACACCCCTAGGTGAGCTCTGAGCCACTGAGGTGCGGCTTGGGACACGACCCCAGCCAAGCAGACAGAAGCCCAGCTGACAGAAAGGGAGGCTGCTGGGCTGGGGGCATGGTCCAGGTAGCCCCCGGCAGTGTGGCTTGGGGCATGCCCCCAGCCCAGTGGACACAAGCCCTGTAGACACAATGCAGGGGGTCCTCTGTGCATGAGCTGCAGAGGAAACACATTTTTTTCTTTTTCTTTTTAAAATATATTTTATTGAGTTTTCACAGAGAGGAAGGAAGAGGGATAGAGAGCTAGAAACATTGATGAGAGAGAAATGTCAATCAGCTGCCTCCTGCACACCTCCTACTGGGGATGTGCCCACAACCAAGGTACATGCCCTTGACTGGAATCAAACCTGGGACCTTTCAGTCTGCAGGCCAATACTCTATCCACTGAGCCAAACCGGTTAGGGTGGAAACACCTTTTCTGAAGGCTCATTGACTAAGCTCCCTGTAAGCTGCCTCTCACAGTGTTCTTGGTAACTTGAGTAATAAGAATGTAAGAAGGTGATCTAGGGTTTTTCCACCACACTCCTGGAGGAAAAACTAAGGTCTGCTGCTGGAGGGGCTAAGAAATGTCATATACTGCCCTAGCCAGTTTTGCTCAGTGGATAGAGCCTTGGCCTGCTGATCTCAGTGTCTGGGTTTGATTCTGATCAAGGGCATGTAACTAGGTTGCAGGCTCCTCTCTGGCCAGGGCCCAGGTCAGGTCTCATGCAGGAGGCAACCAATTGAAGTGTCCCTCTCAAATTGATGTTTCTCTCTCTTTCCCTCTCTCTTCCAAGCTCTCTAAAAATCAATGGAAACATATCCTCAGGTGAGGATAAAAAAGAAAGGTCTTATCCTATGAAAGACACATCTTGAAAGTGCCTAAAGAAAATTGTCATTTTTTCATGGTGAAGGGACTGGAGTCCGTGTTAATGAGGACACCTTGGTGGCTGTGACAGTGGCATCAGCAGCAGGGTGATGTGGCTGGTGCCTTCCCCTGATCAGCCCAGTCACCTCCCACAGAGGAAGGCCAAACTGCGGCTTAGGCCCACTTCCCGTCAGTAGGATATCTCAGTCTGTGAGAGGGGGCAGGCTTGGCTGAGAGACACCCCCTCCCCCGCCCCAGTGCACAAATTTCGTGCACCGGGCCTCTAGTATAAATAGAGAGATTTATTTTAAGGAATCATCTCATGGATTATGGTGGCTGTCAAGTTCAATATCTGCACGTTAGGCCAACAGTCTGGAGACACAGGGAAGAGCTGATGTTGCAATTCAAGTCCAAAGACAGTCTGCTGGTAGAATTTCTTCTTCTGGGGATGTCAGTCTTTTTCTATTAAAGCATTCAACTGATTGGATGTGGCCCACCCACATTATAGAGGGTAATTTACTTTACTCTAGTGATTTAAATGTTAATCTTACCTAAAACTACCTTCTATAATTCACAGAAACATCTATAATAATAAAAGTATAATATGCTAATTAGACCATACGGCATTCTGATGACCTTCCAGATGAAGCCAGGGCTTCAAGGGAAGCACAGGTCCCCCATTGACTCCCTTCAGCTCCCCCTCCCACCCGAGGCCCTCACCAGCCCGTTGTCTGTGTCCGTGGGTAATATGTATATATGCATACAAGGTCTTTGGTTGATTACTTCCCACCCACTCACCCTACCCTTTCTTTCTTTCCCAAGATTCTACGCTCTGTTATAATGGACTTTTAAATACAAGGAAAGGAAAGGAGGATTTGAAAGAATACCAAATGAGTTTAGAGTGCTAAACTCATACAGAGAATAAAAATTATATTGGGTCTTGATATTTCCTCCCATCCTTTTTCCTTTTGGGGGCAGTCAACATTTATTGAGTTCCCACTGGGAACAGTGTGTTGTGGGAGCAATATAAAAGTTCCTTCCATGGATGAAAAGAGGAGGTGACATACTCAAGGTTAGAGAACTTGTACTGTGGGCCTTTATTTTCTCTGCTCAAGATATATTGTTGGATGATAAAGTGGCTGATTCTATCTCTGTTCATTTTTCTTTCCAGATTGTGTACTAGCTTTCTCTCTGAAAGCTCAGAGGCTGTTTGCAAGTAACTTGCCTTTGTTCTCATTTGCAATCCAAACCTCACTGAGCTGGACCTAAGTGAAAATCCCCTAGGGGACACAGGGGTGAAGTATCTTTGTGAGGGTCTCATGTATACTAAAACTATAAAGTAGAGAAATCAGAATAAGTTTTAAAAAACTATCTGGCATCATCTTGAGCTAATTGTGGTTGTCAATGCCCTGGGGTACGCAGGAGTACAGCATCTCTGTGAAAGTCTATGTCATGGGAAGAGTAAAGTCTAGAATCTTATGTGTCTGCTTGTCCTTGTACTTCTCATGGGATTTTGGCATTTGAGGTTCAGTGGAACTCCCTGTTGTCATGGTTAACATAGTCATGTTGGTGTCCCCATTCCTTCAGGCTTGCTGAATATTCCCACTCTGCAGCTTGTTGTGATACTCTCACCCAAGTTCTAAGCTTTACCCAGAGCCTGACAAGGCTACTTCTAATTAATAACAAAGTTGAAGATTTGGGACTGAAATTGTTGTGTAAGGGATTAAAACAGCCTGTCAGTTAAAGGATCTGTCATAAGTGTCATGGACTATAGCCACAAGCAGAGTTTCCTGATGTTTCAGCAACTCCCAAAATTAAATTAGTACTTTTTGGCCTGGTCTTTGACTCTCCAATGAAGCAATAAATGAAAACCTAAATAATACAGGGAAATAAATCTTCCCCTCTCCACAATCTTTGGTTCATGGAAATTTTTCTTACATGACACTCTGATTTTCTAATGTGCTTTTTTTTAGTGGGCAAACATAATTCCTAAAGTGACTCAGTGCAGATGAAATAATGCCACCCTTCTCTAACTTGCTTTCTAGAAGATTGTGTACCTGTCACCTAACTGGAGAGTGTTGTCAGGATTTATGTAATTCACTCTACACCAGTGAACAACTGAGAGAACTTGACCTCAGGGACAATGCCTTGGGGGAGCAGAGCATGAATGTGTTGTGTCAAGGGTTGAAACACCCTTCCTGCAAACCTCAGACCTTGTGGTGAGTATAGGAATGTTTTGCCAGGCTATATATGGAATGTAGGGTATTTGTGGAACTTGGGATAAGACTGATTTCTTTCTTGAATCCCTAATCCCCCATAGGTTAGCAAAATGTCACTTCACAGATGTGTGCTGTGGAACCCTTGCCTCTGACCTCAACAGAAATGAGAACCTAACATTCTTAGAATTAAGTGGAAATTTCCTCAAGGATTTTGGAGTGCAAATGTTTTATGATGTATTGATTCATCCAATATGTAGATTACAGACATTCTAGTAAGTTCTGTGGTGGGGGAAGTGGGAGGGTTGGAGTCAGGACAGGCATGGTGGATTTGATCATAGCCCATTGCAGTAAGGAAAGAAGAAAAACTAAGGGTAGGCCATGCCTAGGCAAAATATCAAAGTAAATGAAATTGCCAATAGACTCCCTTGTTGGACACAGGGGCATTGAAAGAGGCAATGAACAGGCAGCACTAGATCTCACTGCTATGAGAAGCAACATGTGTAGGCAAAAGAGCACTGGATTTAGATTCTGCTAGATCTGGCTGAAGTACTAGGTCTAGCATCTACTAATGGCATGTCCATGCTTACTTCTTTGAACTTTAGTATTCTTGCTTGTAAAATGGAGCTAATATGTGTCCCTGACTCCCTGGTGTTAGCATGGGGGTTGAGTGAAGTGAGATGTCAATTATGAATGAACCTAGTACAACCATTGGCACATAGTAGGTACTTCATGCACCTTTTCATTTCCTCCTTTAATGCCTGCAAGACGGCTTAGTGCTTACATTTTTAGAATCTTCAAGACTCAAGGGGATGATAATATAGTGATGCAATTAAAGAAAGTGAAGGTCTTTCCCCTTTCTGATCAATGTCCATTTGCTAGCTCTGTAAGTTGGCATAACACACAAAATAATTCTTTTAAAAAATATGTTTATTGACTTCAGAGAAGAAGGGAATGGGAGAGAAAGAGACAGAAACATCAATCATTGATCGGCTGCCTTCTGTATGCCCCCTCCTGGGGATTGAGCCCACAATATGGGCATGTGCCCTTTACTGGAATTGAACCCGGGACTCCTTAGTCCACAGACCAACACTCTGTCCACTGAGCCAAACTGGCTAGGGCCAAAGTAATTCTTGGAATACAGCTATGCTCTGTTGGCAACTAACCAGTGACCAAATGGCCATCATTTATGGCATTCAGAATTAGAATGCGTAATGGAAAATAAAGGCCAAGTGCAAAAATTCCACATTCCAAAGCCAATTTGATGGATTGAAGTGTAAATGAAAACAGTTTAAAAACCTAATTACAAATCTGGCTGAAACAGAAGCTGGGCCTCTACTAGCAAAGTGAAGTCTGTTAGTTTCAAGGGCTTAAGAGTGGGATGATTACTGCTCAGGGAGAGGAAAATATTCACAACATAATTCTCAGGTTTAGGGACCTCCAGGGTATTCTTATAAAGTGGTGACTGGAGTCTATACTGTCAACAGGTTGAAATAACCTCAATGATCAACCCTAATGTTTCTTTATATATGCGGTAATGTAATGTGGTAGCACCTATGGTGTGTATGCTTCAGCAAAGATTCTCAATGACAGGAAGAATAAATTATTTTGTCATGGTATGCCATTATTTTTTATTGTTGTTGTAAATTGTGCTATTTTCTGTTTCACTATTTCTTTGTCTTTTTTTCCACCAAGCAACAAACATAATAAAGGTAGCTGCTTTCTATTTGTCTTTTAATCAGAGTGTGAACATTGTGTTTTCAGGCCAATCTTTAAACCTCATAACTTGTCAATCAACAAGTTGATAGCAGTGTGCAGTAATAGCTCAGAATACAAAATAAAGAACATCCACAGATAGAATAGATACCATTTACTGACTTTAAAATAAACTTTGAATGTTAGAATGTATATAAGACAAACAACACTGAAATCAATAGAAGAAATATATATACCCAAGTAAGGTGAGAGGAAACTTCAGATCATTTAATGTGGTGGTGGGCTAGCGAAGGGTTAGATCTAAGGGGAACATCCTAAAAGAGGGAGTCCTCTCTGAAAATTGGAAGAGCTGGAGGAAGAAGGTGGTTTTCTAACTGCTGCTTGAATATGGGGGTATGAATTTTATTCTCATTGTACTTTCCTATAAATTTCCTGGCTCAGTGCTTTGCACATTAGTAAATGCATATATAGGAGAACAGTTAGTAATTTAGAGCATCCAGGGCAAGGCAATGAGAAAGTAATATGTTCAATGAAGACTGATTGTCTAGACATTCAGAAGGTCAAGTGGGGAGGGAAGAGATTGTCACCTCCAAGTGACAAACCTCATCTTCATTCATTCCATAAGCATTTGCTAGACATCTGCTGTGTGATAGACAAATATATCAGTTGCGGGTAGATAAGAATGAATAAGACATAAGACATGATCTGTCCTCTTCAGTAGCTAGTGAGCATAGTGATAGAGATAGGCACATAAACTGATGAATGCAATTGGGTAATCACAAGGTGGGAGTAATGGCTGGAGATAATTCACTGATCCCAAGAGGGTCAGGGAAAGCGTCTTAGAGGAAGGGCCACCTGAGTTGAGTCTTAGGACTATAACCAGAGGATATGGAGATAAGGATGCAGAAAGGGGGTAGTGCAAGCTCAGGTATCATGAGCAAGGGTAGCAAAAAAAAAAAAAAATAAGCAGCATGGTTTATGGTACTTGATGGGGATAAGGGTGGGAAATCTCCAGGAAGCATAAAGTGCACAGAATGTGTCAAGACAATAGACTGGGGAGGTGGTAGGCAAAGTCTTGTATGCCATGTGTGATTAGTAAGATCTATTAGAAAAATTCTGGGTGCAAATTTGATAATCATTTTCTTTTACATACTATAGTAGTAGTACATTTTGAGGCCTTTCCTCACCTTTTCAAAATTGTCCCAAGGATAGAGACACTTTTGCTTCCAAAGCTGGTTGTAGAACCAGACCACTGTTGCTCCTGTTTCTCACTGCTGAATGGGGTTGATTTTGGGAACTGAACTTACCCAGTCTCACAGAAGCTTGGTGACTGGATGGTGATGTCCTGGCTAGTCTGAATCCTGTGAGCCCTGCAGTGCCATTATACTTAGGTTCTGAGGTTACAGATATCTTTGTCCATACCTAGACTTGCAGCCATCTTTCGCTAAAGTGCTGCATGTGTTAGGGTGGCTGGGTCCAGAGGAGCCTCTTGAATCAGTCACAGGTATATATGTGTGAAATCTGCCCTTGTCCACAAAGATACAAGTCCTTGAAGTGAGTCAGGAACCCCACTTAAGCCTTCTTTCTTCAAGATCATTTTATTTGAAGGTTCTTGATGCTTTTCCCAGGCACCCAGGATAAAGCTCCCTAGCTCACCCTGATACGTATTCATAATTCTAAATTTGGAAAGAAAAGGTTGAAAGTAACTGGTCTCTTAACTCCAAGAAGACATCTGAGCTTTGTAAGCATATTGCCGCACCTCTTCCTCAGCAGCAGAGTGCTACAAATCAGGAGATAAGGCAGCTTTTGCTAAGTCACTGAAAAAATTCTAAAGGTCTTATTATACTTCCGTGGACTCAAATGTCTACTTACTCTACAACTGTAAAACTATCAGGGCTACTCATTTCATTTTGTTAGATAAAGATTAGCATCTATCCATTAAGAACTAAAACCTGTACTTCATCATATGCCTGAAAAAGCTTATACCTTCTTTTGTAGTCATTGAGTTTTAATCAGGGACACATGTAGAGTTTGAAGTACTTGTAGGACTCTGGGGGGAATTTTCTAGTAGGTAGACAGTTGGCTATGGGAATGTGCCCTGGAGATAATGGAAATGATGAAAATGGATGAGATTCTTAGGGAAAGCAAGAAGAGGACCTCTGAGGGACATCTTGGGAATTAATCCTGGGCAATATCATCTTTAAGAGGTGGGAATGGAAAGGAAAACCTGTGGAGAAAACCAGGAAAGAAAGATGTCCTGGAAACTATGTATGGGAAGAGTGTTTCAAGGAAGAAGTGCCCAACAGTATCAAAAGCAGCAGAAAGGCTCAAATGAATGAGTACTGAAAAATATCCATTAGATTTAACAGGAGGCTACAGGTGACTGTATGGAGGGCTGTTTTAGTGGTATAAGGGGCTTGAAACTAGATTGCACTGATTTGAAGAAATGAGAGATTAAACGGAAACTACTTTTTAAAAAAGTTTGTGAAGGGCGGAGCTTGAAGATGGCGACTGAACAGTCGGACTTGTTCTGACTCTGGTCCCAGAACAGACAAAAGTAGCGTCTGAGCAGCTCAGGGAATATTGATTGGCAGCTGAGGGGCAGCGGAGTTCTCAAGGAAGGTAGGGAGCTGTCCGCTGGACAGGATTTCCTGGCCGGGTGGCCAGCACTGCCGCGCGGCGGCGGAGGTGGCGGCGAGCTGAGGGCTGCGGCTCGGGGGCTCCGCCACCTTACCAGGAAAGGAGTAGCTTCTCTGAGGCCTGGAAAACCCCAGCGGAGAGGTCCATCAAGCAGCTGAGAAGCCCGAATCGGCGCAGACACGTGGATTCAAGGGAGCTCTTCGGTCACCCACAGAAAGGTCAGAGTTTGCGGGGATAGCCTAAGGGTTCCTGGTCCCCTGGTGCAGGCAGCCATAGCCGGAGCTCCGGCGAGGCCCCGCCTCCACTGTAGGGGGGAGCGCCCGCTGAGGTGAGCCCAAAGCAGGCTGCAGCGACACCTAGTGCTGGGTTTGATGTAAGCTTCCCCAGAAGCGGGATTTAAAAAAAAACAAACCCCAGGGGACACGGGACAGAGTGTTAAGAATCGTGGCTGTCCCGCCAAGGGCGGAACATCTGGACACCTTGGCGCCTGATCCCCTTCACCCCTTAGCTTTGGAATACTACGGAAGGACTGCCCAGTAGGGCATATCCTGGAAATTGCAGGGGGAAATTGCCTTCCTGGAAACAAGGGATCGGAGCCAGAAGAGATAGTCTGGGAGCCAGCTGGCACCCTGCCAGCTAGAGCCATAGAGAAAAAAGGCCAGAGCAACCAAAAAGACTGGGAGGTCAAACCGGAAACACTGACACCTAAGAGCTGAATTACAAACCGCCCTTTTTTCTTTTTTTCTTTTAATTAATCAAAAATAAATGGACACTAATAACTAAGATATAGCCTACTTAAAATTAAGGATTACCTTACAAAACTGAGGTGCAGTGGAATGCTGGGAACTGCAAGACTGTCTGGTCCGAGAATCAGGAGTGCCAAATACATTAACTGAGGAAGTGAATGACCACTACTGGATATTTTTATGCTAATTTTA